TAGTTTGGTGGTTGACTAGCATTAAAGACCCACTTCATATTCATAGTCATATATTTAATTCTAATACTTCCCAGAAGTTTTTTTCTGTAATTATCCCTTGTTTATGCAAATACCAGCAGACACTGGAAAGCTTCTTGCTTCAGCATACCACTAATTAAATCATCTTTCACATTTTTTTTAAATTTAGTAATTTAAGTTTTTTAAAATGCAGTAATGAGGAAAAGATACCACTGTGACTCTTAGAATATGATATCAATAAAAATAAGGAGAAATTCAAATTTTAGGTTGCCATATGGATATGGTTTGTTTGGCCCCACCAAGCCTCATGTTGAAATTTGATCCCCAGTGTTGGAGATGGGCCTCATGGAAGGTGTCTGGATCCTGAGGGCAGATCCATCATAAATGGCTTGGTGCCATTCTCATAGGAATGAGTTCTCACTTGTAGTTCCCATGAGAACTGTTGTTGAAAAGAGCCTGGCACCACCTACTCTCTCTCTCTCTCGCCTCTTCTCTTATCATGTGATCTCTGCACATGTCTGCTCTCCTTCCCCTTCCACCATGAAAGGAAGCAGCCTGACATTTTTACCAGAAGCAAATGTTGGTACCATGTTCCTTATATAGTCTTCAGACCTCTGAGCCAAATAAGCCTCTTTTTTTTTTTTAAATAAATTACCAGCCTCAGTTATTTCATAGCAACATAAATGGACTATGACATGGGTTAAGAGATCCATTGCCATTCTCATTTTGATCCTCACCCTCCCTTTCTTCTCTTGTGATGGGTCAGAGAGATGAGTTAGGGAAAATGCATGGAGATGATAAGAATCCACGGTCACATCTTCTGTGTTTCCTAGCTATTCTGCATTTAGCTCTTGACTCACCCATCTGATAAAGAATCCTGCTCTAAGGAAATGCAGTTACAAATATATTTTGCCACTCATTGCAGAGAGTCATGAAAGGGGATCATGAGTACTTATCAGACCAGTACTGTTTATGTCAATTGTCAGTTCCAAGATGATGAAATTTGGAGTTGGCCTTTTGCTTTCTCTGAGCCAGAAAATTAGAATAATGCACAGGTAACTGAGTATTAACTTCATCTCCAAGGTCTTAAATTCTCTTTGGGTTTGGGGTCCTCATTGCAGTATTTGAACTCAGACTTAAGGACAGCAAATGCACACACTTATTAACCCACCCTCCACAGGAAATCTACATGTGTGAATAGCATAGATACATACACACACTTGTTCATATGTATTATTCTTGTTCCATTAACATGCCCTTTTGTGCGCTTCAGCTTCAAGAGGACCCTACTCTCTTACTCAATGATCTTTTTAATCTTTTTCTTTTTTACTTCCAGCTACTTTTCCCATGAGAATTGTCCAAATATTCTCATTTCCTTTTCCATTTTCTTTAAGGAAATGGAAGTAATTTGGTTTCAAATATGAGATCAAATGATCCAATGTGGGCTTCATCAGTTTTCTCACCCTTCATCTTAGAATGTTTCTCTACTATCACTCTTCTTCTCTTTACTTTCTTTTGTCAGAGATAAGTAACTCCTCCTATTTCTTCAAATCTAATTCTTCTATTTTGTGTCTGTAACCACTTCCCTCCTGACTGCTCCAGAATCTTTATGACTTTTTTAAATGACTGCTTCATAAATTTCTTTCTTGAAGGTCATTGATTGTTTCCAAGTATAATGGACTCTTCTCATTTAGTCATTCATTCAACAGATATTTGAGCTTATACCATATACCAAACCTTATATTAAATGCTTAGGCAACTATATAAGAGAATAGGGAGCTCATAATCTATTCTCCGAGAGCAAGGGTTGACAATTTTTTTTTCTTTCTTTTTTTTTTTTTTTAGTGAAGGGACAGGTAGTAAATAGTTTAGGCTTTATGGATCATACCTTCTTTGGCGTAACTACTCAACTCTACCCTTACAGCATGAAAGTAGCCATAGACAGTATGTAAATGAATAGGAGTGGCTGTATTTCAATAAAATGTTATGTATAAAAAATAGGCAGCAGGTTGACTTTGGCCTGGGTGTCATAGTTTGCTGACCCCTTGGTCTAGTGTTCAGTTTTTCTGATCTGCATATAATATTGATTACTCTTTACCACCCCTCTTTTGAAATCCTCTTTTGAGTTCTGGAAACTCATTGGTAGTCCTACCTCTCTTAAAGCCTATTCTGTGTGTCTTTCATACTTCTATCTACTAGGTTGGCATTTCTCAAGGTCCTGTTTTTTGTCCTCTTGCTTGCCTTCTCTAAACTTTCTAGACATTGCAGTATCTGAATTGCTCTCCTGACCATTCTGCTGAATCTATTTTCAACATGTCTTTGTTCATCTGAGCCACCAGCATCTCCCACTTTGTACAACTAAAAATGAAGCCATTGTCATTTTCATCTTTCTAACTCTTCCTTATTCCTTCTTTTTGCTTATCTGTCTCATTTTCTAAGTGGAGAACTTTGCCAGGATGCTCATAGCAAAGTATTCGAAGAGCACACAGAAAACTGTGACATCCCTCTTACCTCTGGAAGATTAGCCACTCTATAAAACACGTTCACTTTTATGGAAGTTAAGGAAGGTCATTGGAGGACTTGGCACAGAGTCTTCACCCAGCATGTTAGGACCTCCAGCCACCTCTCAGTTGGCAGTCCCTGTTGGGCATAACCAGCTGGCCCCTGTGTTTTCTTGTTGACCCATGTGAGCAAAGCTTGCCCTGTAACTTGCAGCTCTTTTCCAGAATGTGCCCTGACTTGGGCTTTGGCAATAAAGTAAGGGCTGTAACTTTAACTAGCTCTTCCTTAAACAGTACCACCTGTTGCTATCTATCTGTGAATTTACTCCATCTTACTCAAAGGCAGCAGATGCCATGGGCATTTTTCCTACTGTATAAAGGAGAATGGGAATCTGGCTTCTTCGGGAAAGGGAGAGTTATTGTCTGTTTCCCCAAATGATTGGATGATCACATTTTAACTTTATATGTTTCATGGCTCTAGTTCTTGGAAACACATGGAAGATTGAGGTTTGACTGCTTCCTGCCACTAAAATAGCTCCCTGGTGGTCATTCATAATTTAGTATATATGATTTGAATTACATTAATCAGATAAACATATTCTGCTTCTATAATGAATAATGCTAGAGAGCATTTAGATATTGGGGATTATTACAACAATTTTTATTGTTCTTGGCTTACTACAAAAGTAACACATGACCAGCATTTGAAAATTTAGGGAATAAAAATCTAGGTAATAGAAATGGAAATAAGCAAAAATTTTTGAAAATCTTATAACTCAGAGATAACTACTTCTAATATTTTGTTTTTAAAGACATATATAAAGTGGAAAATTCTGTAATACTATTTTGCTTTTTTCACTTGATAGTCTATCATGAACCCTTGTGAAATGAAATATTTTAAGACATATATATGAAGGGACCAAGGAGAAGCTTTGCTCCTACCCCATCTTTCATGTACCTACTTCTTATCCTCCACTCCCCATAGGTAATTACCTCTTTCATTGATTTTTTTGAATGTCTTTTCAGAGTTTCTTTAAATAATATAAACAACTTTAAGTACATACTCTTATTCCCCCACAACTTTTATAACACAAGGTAACACTCTATACATACATTTATGTCTTGATTTTCTCACTAAAAATACCTTTATACTCTTTCTGCAGCATTTTCAATGGCTACAGTATTACTCCGTTCCTTTATTGTAGTGTAAATTATTTAATTCCCTATTTTTGGACATTTGGGCTATCTCAAAACAATCTTATAGATGTATCTTTGCATACAACCCATGATTATTTCCTTAGGATAAATTATTTGAGATTATTTGCTGGACTGTTGCTTCATGTTTCCAAATTTTTCCTGAAAGGTTATTCCACTTTATACCTTCCCCAGCAAGACTTGCCAACAGGTAAAAGGGGGAAATAAGTTAAAAAGAGGTTATTTGCAACAGTGAATTTTAAAAATATTATACACAAGAAAAATAAATACAGAAAAGCAATGGTAGATTGACAGTTTTCAAGTTATGGAAGGAGAGGAATTCAGTGAGAGGTGACTGGGCACAATTGAGAGAATATATTGGAACTGGAGTAGGATGTGAGTGCTAGTCTTGCCGCTGACATGAGATGTGGGATCAGTCACTCAGGTCTTCAGATGTGTTTTCTCATCACTGAAAGAGGGAAGAATGCTTACTGAGTTTATTTGGCCCCTTTTGTTCTAAAAGGATTTATGAAGATGGAATATGAGGGAATCTTTCAGCTCTAAACTTTTTAATTTTATAACTGTACCTTCATTTTCAGAGGAAATAAAAATTGAGCCTCTACTTATTATTGAAGGGTTAGACCTCTCTCTTCCCAATACCCTGTGCTACTATTCTCTCTTAATTTCAGTAAATGCTAAGCCCAAACTTCTCACTCTACCTCACAGAGCAATCTCTTAGCTTCCATAGATAACCTTTCACAAAATTCAGTGTGAATTGGACAGGGAATAATATTAAAAGTATAAAAGGTTGATTCTTGGCTGCAGATCAATATCAATATCTGTATCTATCTATCTATCTATCTATCTATCTATCTATCTATCTATCTATCTATCATCTCTCTTTATATATATCACTCAGGCATTTAGCTGTAGATGAGGAAACATTAATCTGCAACATCAGTAAGAGACAATGATGTGACTTCCACAGATACCAAATTTGGCATGGTGGTGGTATTAGATTTGCCTCCTTGTAGTGCAGTGATTAACAGATGGCAGGAAAGGAGGCTGAGCAAGAAGGGAGGAAATTCAAAAACTGCCCCTAATCACGCCTTCCTGATGTGGAGGTCAGCTATCGGCCTGTGGGCAAGTGTTCAGTCATTGGTCAGCTCAGTCTCAAAGCTGGGATTAGAAGCTTCCCTGATTTCATCAAGTAAGAACTTTGGTCACTGAGATGAGATTGGTCAAGAATAAATACCACGTGCAGTCATTTCCTTCCTTTCTCTACAGCAAGCAAACTGAAAAGGATCCAGGTGTGCAGGAATTGGAAGCATTAATAGACACAATTCAGAAGCAACTGAAAGATCACTCATGCAAAGACAACATTCGTGAGGCATTTCAAATTTACGACAAGGAAGCTTCAGGATATGTGGACAGAGACATGTTCTTTAAAATCTGTGAATCACTTAACGTCCCAGTGGATGACTCCTTGGTTAAGGAGGTCAGTATGAATTACTCTTCTGAGTTGATTGCAGAGGCTAAGCACTGATCATTCTTTCCTAAAGGCAATTGTATATGTATTTCACTACAGCTGACACAGATTTAGGATGTTCAGATCAGATCTACTATTCTGTCCTGATTAGGTATTGCCCGTTCATTCTAGCATTGGCATTCTTTTCTAATTGCTCTTGCAGGGCATCTCTTTAAGTGGGCCTGGGGCTGGACAACACAGAGTGGTTAGTAGACCAACATGTCAGGACTGAATAAGAGCAGCAGAGATGATCCAGGAGGGGCAGCTACCAAGGGGAGACTCAAAGATGTTGACTGAGCAGACTGCTTGGCAACCTTTGATATCCTTCACAGCTGATACCTACACTGGCCCATCAGTAGGGTTAGCATGGAAGAGGGCGTGACCACTGTGGGAGGGCTGTGGCATCTGTCAGTAATGGTAGCATGACCAGCAGCAGATGCAGAAAGGGCATGGAAGTTTTCTTTCTTGAATTTTTCTAAGTCAGTTGAAGGGGGACTTTCATGCCTTTTCTTCATTATAAACCCTTTAGCCAGGGTTCCCTTGGAGGTCAGAACAAAGTCCCCCTGAGAAATGCCAAGGACTGTGGCTTATTATCATTGAGACATTCTTACTGATTAAGAATATTGAGGTTCTGTAGGCCCTTTTAAAGATCGTTTAGCCAAAACAGGTGTTCATAATTTAAGAGTCATTTAGGAAAGGGTTTGGTTTAGGGCTAGTGACTAGGTTGGAGACAAGGATTTGTCATAGAAACATTAGCAGGGAGTGAGTAGGAGGGCAGATAGAAGAGTATTTGTTTATGTGGACAATCACACATTTAGCTCCTCAAATTTTAGGTTGAGAGCATGCCCAACTTTTGATTTTCAAATTCTTCATACTGTCTGATGTGGGAACTGACATGGGAGAGAGAAATGGCAGTCATTGACAAGTGCAGCAGGGAAGTGGGGGTGGGACAGATTTGCATATGTCTTATAAAAATAACCACAGAAAATCAGTCCGTTACCAGTCACAGTTGAGTTTCAAGGGACACAGGTTGAGCAGTGGCATAACCAGACCCTTCCGTTAGGCTGCGGTAGCAAGAGCCTGCTATTTAAAAAGTCTTACTCCTCATGAGCTGAGTGGACAGTCTTTTATTTGAATATAAAAACAACTAAAAGTGCTTTTATAAATATGGATGTTAGTTCTGAAATCTTGGGAAGTGTGGCAGACTGCCACGGTTACTACTTGAGACCGTCACTACAACAATTACTACTGTTACTACTTGAGACCGTCATTACGAGAGTTAATGAAGGAGGATGAAAGCAGAAGTGAAAACTTAAAAGAAAAGTAACTATTTTAAAGGAAAGGAAAGAAGAGAGCTCCCTGCTTCTAGTGAGCAAAGGCAGCTGCCCGAGCCTCTACACCCCTTCATCTTTATTGGGTAGAAAGAACAGGGAGGAGGAGGTAACGATTGGTCAGTTGCTTAATTGATCACAGGTTCACATTATTGCTAACAGGCTTCAGATGTGCCTAATCACAAGAAACACTTGTGCCTGGGTCATGACTGCCCTCAGCATTCCTTCTGGGCAGCAGATGCAGTTTGTCAGTTTGCCAGCATCCTGCTTTCATGAGAAAGAGTTTGCTGTTTACTCATATAGCCTCCAGTGATATACTGAGTTGATCATGACCCTCAGTCTTTCGACCTTCAACAGGGAAGGTCATTTACTCCATCCATCTTTGGTTTCATTAGGTGTGAGATGGGGATGATATCTGTCCTACCTGCCAGGTTCACAGGATCATTTCAGAATCAACTTGAAGATATAAAAATTCTGAACTGATTTACAAAGGCTGGGGATCATTATGTATAAGCGCACTCTGCAGTTGAGCTGACGGAAGCCCTGTGGATCTGTTTCACCTATTCTCTTTGCTCTCTCTGCAGTTAATCAGGATGTGCTCTCATGGAGAAGGCAAGATTAACTACTATAACTTTGTTCGTGCTTTCTCAAACTGACCTGCTGATGAGAAAATGCAAGACAATTTCTGATATTGGAATTATGCTTTGAAATATACCTTACACTCTTCATAGAGGCATTTACAGAGTTCCTGAAGTTTTATTTCTGTTTTGGTTCTTATTTCACTACTACTGAAGTCAAAACTAAATTGGATCTAATAGGATCTAAGATTGGTGCCTTATTTAGGGCAATGGGGTATAGCAATGTCTAATTTTGTGTGTCAAATTGACTTGGCCACAGGGGGCCCAAATATTTCCTTTCTTTCTTTTTTAAAAAATATTTTAAATTTTTTTAGATATGGGATCTCACTCTGTCATCCAGGCTGGACTGTGGTGGCACTATCCTAGTTCTGGGAAGCCTCAGACTCCTGGGCTCAAGTGATCCTCCCGCTTAACCTCCCCAGTAGCTGGGACAACAGTCTCAAGCCGCCATGCCCAGCTAATTTTAAAAATTATTTTGTAGAGACAAGGTCTCATTATGTTGCCTAAGCTTGTCTCAAACTCATGAGCTCCAGAAATTCTACCACCTCAGCCTCCAAAAGTGCTGGAATTATAGGCATGAGCCACTGTGCCCAGCCTCAGATATTTCATTATTCTGGGGGTTTCTGTGAAGGTATTTTTGGATGAGATAAACATTTGAATCAGAAGACTAAGTAAAACAGATAGTCCTCCCTAATGTGGATGAACCTCCTCCAATCATTTGAAGACATGAGTAGAATAAAAAGGCTGACCTTCCCCCAGGTAAGAGAATTCCTCTTGCCTGACTGGCTTCAAATTGGGACATCAGCCTTTTCCTGCCTTCAGACACAAATGCAAACATCAGCTGTTGGTCTGGAGCCTGCTGGCCTTCAGACTGGACCTAAACCATCAGCTCTCCCAAGTCTTAGGCCTTTGGATTCAGACTGGAATTATACCTTTAGCTCTCCTGGGTCTCCAGCTTGCCAATTTACCCTGCAGATCTTGGGACTTGTAAGCCTTCATAATTGTGTGAGCAATTCCTTATGACTCTTTCCCTCTCTCTCTCTCTATATATATATGTATATATAATATATATGTGCATATAATATATACATATTATCTATACACATACACACATGTACATGTTTATATGTATATATGTATATGTATATATGTACACATATATGTGTATACATACATCCTATTGGTTCTCTTTCTCTGGATAACCCTAATTCAGATGTAGAATGATCAAGAGCAGGAGGAATGTTAGAATTCTCTAGAAGAATCATCTGGGATGTTGGAATCAGTATGCAGTATCATTGTTGCTGCTAGTCAATGGCCCCACCACTACCCATCTGCCCACCCTGATACTGAGGGAAATATACACCCATTTTTCAAACTGGTTCTAGGCCCATTAGACCTGCATTAAAAAAAAAAAAAAGAAGAAGGAATATAATAGAAAATATCTGGTATACCTAGCAGGGTATTTTTTCTTTTTTTCTTTTGTTTTGAGCAAGACGGAGGCTCACTCTGTCACACAGGCTGGAATGCAGTGGCGTGATCTCAACTCACTGCAACCTCTGCCTCCTGGGTTCAAGTGATTCAGCCTCCCGAGTAGCTGGGACTACAGGCATGCGTCACTATATCCAGTTAATTTTTTAAATTTTATTTTTAGTAGAGACGAGGTTTCACCATGCTGGGCTGAGGCTTCTGTTTCAAATGAGAGTGGATTTACTGGATCATCATGTAAAATGTATTTCTTGATGTGGGTTGTAGTAAAAAAATAAAAATAAAAAGATTTGGCTGGGAACACTTGCTCACACCTGTAATCCCAGCACTTTGGGAGGTGGAGCCGGGTGGGTCACTGGAGGTCAGGAGGTCGAGACCAGCCTGGCCAACATGGTGAAACCTCATCTCTACAAAAAATACAAAAATTGGCCAGGTGTGGTGGCATGCGCCTGTAGTCCCAGCCACTCAGGAGGCTGAAATGGGAGAATCGCTTAAACCCCGGAGGCAGAGGTTGCAGTGAGCCGAGACCACATCCTGCACTCCATCCAGCCTGGGTGACACAGCAAGACTCCATCTCAAAAAAAAAAAAAAATTAGAAAAATACCGCTTTTAGAGAGCCCAGCCTTGAGAGAGGAAGGAAAGACTAGTTGCAGTTACTATCCTCTAGTGAGCTCTGATTGGCTCTTTAGAATCAGGGCTGCTCTTTGGTTGAAGTCAGCCACTAAGTTCATCTTTAAACATGCTATCTCAAATTCCCCCAAGCCACCCAAAACATGGTATGAGTGAGGATAGAGTTACATAGAATTCAGACTGCTTTGCCCTCTCAGAACTTCTAGGGAACTTCCCTTGGTGTTTCCTTCCCTAATGAGCTCAGCCACTTGTAACTAGCTTATTGAAAGGGCTGTGAATATATTATGTTGACTCCTTTTCTGTTCCAGGTTATTATCTTGGGAATAACCCATGTTTTGTTTTGTTTTACCTTCAGTCGCTCATAACTATTTAAAACAGTATCTCACTTTCAACTACAGATGCTCCTCTACTTATGGGGTTATGTCTCAATAAACTCACATAAGTAAAAAATATCACAAGTTGAAAACACATTTAATAACCCTGATAAGCCCATTGTAAGGTAGGAAAATAAGTTGAACCGTTGAAAGTTGGGGACTATCTGTATTTTACAAGTTTTTTCAGTTTAAAAATTACCAAGCTCTATCCTGCCTGGCCCAGCTCAGTCCTTCCCTAGGCTTAGAAGCCTGTGGTAGAGTGTGTGTATACTGGGGTGATGATAGTGGTTCCTTCTTCCTCCCTTCTTTCTGTCTTCTCCCTTTGTTCCTATTCAGCTGTGCTGCTGTTTCTAGCCCATGTAGGCTCTGGGAAAGGTTAAGGGGGTAGAAACCACAGAAAAAGGGCAAAGTCTTATTTCTGTGGCTAGTAATGTCATAATGTGGGGCCCAGTCTCTGAGTGACATGTGCCCAAAGGCTGACTCTTTCTCCCAGAGCACCTTTTTTCTCTTTTTGGAATTCAGGGGGTACATGTGCATGTTTGTTACATGGGTATATTGCACCTAGGTAGTGAGCATAGTACCCAGTAAGTAGTTTTTCCACACATACCCCCTCCTTCCCTCCCCACTCTGGTAGTCCCCAGTGTCTATTGTTGCCATTATTATGTCTATGTGTATTCAATGTTTAGCTCCCACTTAGAAGAAAGAACATGCAATATTTGGTTTTCTATTCCTACATCAATTCACTTTAGGATAATGGCCTCCAGCTGCATCCATGTTGCTGCAGAATACATGATTTCATTGTTTTTTATAGCTGCATAGTATTCCATGGTGTAGATATACCACATTTAAAAAATCTAATCCACCACTGATTGGCATCTAGGTTGATTCCATGTCCTTTGCTCAGAGCCCCATTTTGGTGAGTACTTAGAACTCTTTCCAACCGGAAACTGCCCAGTGCACCACTCTCAGGTGGAGGGGACCCAGTCAGCACCCGACCACCCCGGCTCTAATGGCATGCTCTCCAAAGCTCCTTCTGATCTTCCCAGGAGGCCCTTTCGGGCTGAGACACCTTCCAGGCTGTGCACTCTCGCCATGTTCTCACCCAGATGGCTCTCTTGGCTGTGTAATTAGGCAGCTCAATCCCTTTCCTTTCGACTGTTTCAGGGGAGAACCAGGTACCCCAAACCTTGTGCTCTCCAAACTCCAGGGGACAGACACGTGTCAAACCCTGAGTCTTTTAAAGTATCCCCTCACTTAGCTTGCAGACCCAAGGTACTCTAACAGCCTCTTTCAAGCAGCTTGCACTTTCTGGTATTTTCTCCATCACTCTTGCCTCCTGTGGTGGAGTCGCTTTGGGCTCCCCCTCAGCAAATCATTCATGAATCAGCAGCAAATCTGCAACATACGGAAATATTTGCCAATTTTTGTCCTCAGCGCTGGGTCTCAGCCAAAATGGAGATTTAGGAAGTTCTCATTTAGTATCCTCTAGCCTGCTTTTGGTTGTTTTGTTTTTCTGTTTGTTGTGTTTGTTTTTTAGAGACAGGGTCTTACTCTGTTGCCAGACTGGAATGCAGTGGTGTGACCATAGCTCACTGCAGCCTCAAACTCTTGGGCTCAAGCAATCCTCCTGCCTCAGCCTTCTGAGTAGCTAGGCCTATAGTCTCAGAGGGAACTGTCTTCAACAAAGCTGGCACTATCCACATCCACTCCTTAAGTTTGCTGTCCACTTCTTGCCTTGCATCTCCTTTTAAGTTTACTTAAGATTGAGAAGCTGATCTCTGACAGCACCATCACAAGGTATAAAAGCGATTTCATGAAAGACCAAAGCCAGCAGGCCATTTCTGTGGTGTCCACACACTTGTTGCTCACCTGTTAGTTTATACAAAGCAGCAAGGGTAGGAGCCACAAATGTTACAGCAAATCACTTTTTCTACTAAAATCCTGAATGGCAGTGCAGCCATTGGATGTCACTAATTACCTTGTGCTACAGTCACAGCTGGCACGCATCTGGAGTGTCAGGCTCAGGTGATGGAAGAGAACTGAGCATTAGCCTGTAGCAAGCAATATTGTAGGAAGCAGAAATGATCATCACTTCAAATTGGCCACCAGGGAGTTGAAAGATTCTAATACACACACACACACACACAGAGAGAGAGAGAGAGAGACAGACAGAGAGAGAATTAAGATTCGCTCTGGTAGCTGAAGCTATCAGGTCTAACTGAAGAATTTGACTAAGACTGCTTATAGTGCTTACGGCTTTGGGACTAATAAAAATCTGCCTTGTGGGTAAAGATGGGCTGTGAGTTAGCCACTACTCAGAAACCTGGGCCTGTACCTTGTCTGCACCACCAGGGGGGCCTTGAAAATACCATCAAATTAAGGTGTATCAAATCCGTATCTATAGGCTTTGAGGGTATTTGGGACAAATAGGTAGAGAAGATTTCTCTAAATGTTGTCTCCAGAGAATCAAGGGTCACTTGGGTAAGTGACTCCTGAATATCCTGCTGGCACATAAGTTCATTTTAAAAAGCCAATTTGAGTGCTTTATATGTACCATGAACTTAGCATTCAGTATCTCTAAGCCTCTCACCACCATTCCTCGCAAAACATGAAACCCTTTTGACACAGATGAGCAAAAAGACTCAGAAAGGTTAACTGCTTAGTTCACCTAGCTTCTTATGGCAGAGCAGGACCCAAGTCTGCAATGAAGCTTGCCATGCATCAGAACCACTCACCTTCACCTCAAGCAAACATTTCCTCTTTAATTCTCACACCCCATGGGTGTCCTTGACTAACTGCCACCTGTAACTGCACTCATCTTTTGAAATCTCTC